ATTGTCATAAAATTTATATAAGAACATAACATTAAAAAAATATGTATAAATTACTGATAGTAAATGAGTTAAGAAAATGAATTTTGTCTTCTGTGTAAACAAATTTCTTTCATTATGGTTAATTATTGTCATTTAAAGTCATAGGTTAACTATATAGTTAGCAGTTTGAAATATTTTTGTATAACACTATAATTATACATTAGTTTGCAAACATTTCAACCAAGAGGTAGTGATCAAAAGAGTGCAAGACAACACGAGCCCAACCATGGTTGGGACTGAAGTCTAAAATGTTTGTGTTTTCTGGCATATGTAAAATGTACTTCTGTTCTGATTTTCAAGAGTACTAGATTTTTGGAAAAGACTTGAAGATTTTTCAAAACAGAGAGATAATAGAAAACAATCACAATTTAGAAGAAATATCAGAAAATTAGAAAAAAAAAGAAGAAAATATCAGAAAACTCAAAATCAGACACAGAACGAAATATCGGAGGGCTTCTGGGGGAAGTCTATGAAGCTCACGGTCTTATAATATTTAATGAAAATAAAGCATAGATTAAATCTTACCACAAAATCGAAGATGCGTGGCATCCCTGCATCCAACTTGAATCCCGTATTGATCTATATCGTAGAGGCATTGGTAGTTGGTACTCACGCAGGCACCGTTATTACAAGGTATTCCTCTTTCTAAACAATCTGTATCATTGGTATCACTTTGGACATCTATAAAAAGACATTTGTTGTTACTTACACAACCATGATTTATTTATAATGTATTTTCAAGTTTAATATTGTGTTTAATGAATTATTGACAGAACAGATTTGTGATGCATTATTGCATTCCACCATATTCTAGGTTTACATTTACATAGAATAGAATTTACATAGAATACATTTTCAAACACTTGCATTTTGACAGCTTCCTAAACTGGTGAATATGAATTATTAGAGAAATATTAGCAATTAGAGAAATATACTCGTTGCTTTAACAATTAACATAAAGCATCATAAAATCTTTTTCTTGTTTATGAGATACCTTTAACCCAAAATGTATTTATTTTTGTGAATCACATGGTGAAAATATGGATGACTCTCAACACACATATCTAATTAAGTTGACCTGACAGTGAGACGACACTCTTGCATGTATGATGATGAAAATTTAAAAAAATAAATAAATATAACTAGAAATTATAATTTTAAAATAGTTATACGTGTGTATAAGTATTGTACTCGGCAGGATTCTGCCAGTATTTATAGAACGACAATGATCATGCTAACAGTCCTTCCTCTGTCTTAAGGTAAAGTGTTTGTTTAGCTCTTTTCATGCAAATTCTGTGTTGGGTTGTATGACAATGTATTCATTTTGTTTGAATAAAACGTTACACAACAAATATGAAATAGTTTCAACTCACCACAGATTCCTTCCTCTTCATCCTCATAATTTCTGCCTCCACAATCTTTTGCGCCGTCACATACGGCATGCATAGGAATACAGCTGCCGTCATGACACTGGAAGAACCCAGGCGCACAGTTGACTGAAAAAATAAAATTGCTTTACTTTGGTCGGTTTAAAAGGAGGAAACAAACTAGAATATGCCTAACAATGTTTCTTTTCATTAAATAGGCCTAATGCAATATTGTAGCCCTAATTATGAAATGTAACAAAATTATCAATGGATACAACTAAATACAATTTCATAGAAAATGACATACGACACCAGCATTTCAAATACTGGTAATAAATTGTTAAATTAGTATTAATTGAGTTACATACAGACAAAATAAATTTTACAAAATGGCGAAATAATCAACAATCTGGTGAATGGTCTACGCTCCTAACAAGGTTATAAATGAATTAGGCTTAAACTATACTAATTAAGTTTTATTTAGTGAAAACTATTATCAAATTGACATGATCTTCATAAATTGTATTTGTTTATTTCTTACGACAATCTGATTCATCTTCTCCTTCAGCGCAATCATTAACACCATTGCAAACAACAGTTTCGTTAACACATTTTCCATTTTCACATCGGAATTCACTGTTGGAACATCTGACATATCCTGTAGGAAGAATACAATTTTATTATTTATAGCAGGATTAAAAGCTGAAATAATTATCAGTGAACCTTTCCAGTAAACCCAGCACTTTGGATATTGTGCTGACTGTTTAAACGTACATAAACACGTATGTTTTGGGACATCACGTGCGTTTGTCAGACAAGCACGTATTCCTGCCAGTGGCGTAACGAAAGGGCAATGATGATTTAAGTTGATTACCCTTGGATACGGGAACAGGCAGTTTAAACTACGAATTGGTTTACTGGCCCAACAACTCAAAAGGTGAACATGCTGTATAAAATCTTACCACATCCTATTTCATCACCACCATTTCTCACATCGTTTCTTCCATCACAGACGAGAGACAATGAAATGCAATTAGGTCCTATTCTTGTATATCCTTCTGGGCAGACTTCAACTGTTAAAATTAACAAATATAAAATTATTGTTTTCAACATGCAACATGAATTGAAATTGTTGTTTCCTGTGTTTTCATTTATATTTAAAATATACAATAATAATAACTATCTATTGTATGTTGTAAATACAATCATACAAGTATTCATATTTGGTTTCTGAAGTGCATTCCCACTGAACATTAGGCCTTGTTATTGTTGCTACTCTTTATCGTTGCACAGTGTTGGTGCCAGGATTTGCCCAATGTGGCGGGGATGGGGGGGGGCATTAAATCCGTCGGAAGTGTTCCATGGAGAGAAGCCCCCCAAAAAATTGACAATTTAGGGGTTTCAGAGGCTTATCTAATCCATTTTGGATTCTACTAATATGTAGAAAATACATACATTTGTTTTCTCCCCGACGATTCTTGGTTTTTCTCCCCGACGGGGGGGGGGGGACACTTCCCGACTGCTGTGCCACCCTTGTTGTTGCATGTCAGCACTCCAACTGCAACACTAGGAGAGTGTGGTAGCAATAGAATTGAACCAGAAACCAAAAGTTCTGAAGGGATCTCTATGGTTCATTTTACACACAGAGTCTACCATAAGTTTGGAAAAATAAATTATTCTTCTCTCGTTCATATAACATATATCGTAATTGAATAAATTATCTGCTTAACATATAGTGTAGATGGAGTGATTTACATTAATGGACTGTTCCGCTAAACCTTGCCCCTTGGAGACTGTTGCTAAAGTCCCACATTCCAACAGTGTAAATGTACGTAAGCGTGAGACATGCGCTTATTACTGGCAAATGATCTGATTGGTTGGTTGTTAAGTTTTCTTTTTAACGGTTCACAACGTATAATTAACTTACAGTTACATTCTGCTTCATCGCTGCCATCGAAGCAATCAATTATTCCATCGCAAACGAATGCTGCTGCAATACAATCAAGGAATGAACATTGAAACTGATGATCACTTTTACATGGTGAATCGTCAATGACTGTCGGAACCTTCAAAACCACACTGTCCATATTTTCTGTAAACAATAAATGTATAAAAAGTAGGTTTATTAGAATTTAATGATAATATGAAATGTAATGAAAACATATAGCACCACTATCCGTTAAATAAATAACACTCACCATACTGCTTGCAAAAATGATGATCATTGTAATTTTACTTGTAGCTTTCGTTATCACATAACTGGCCAGGCACTGCGTCGGCCGACAAATCTTGACAATGAGCCGCCGTTTGTTGATTCTCAGATTAGCAATCTGAGCGGATCGCCATTAAAAAAAACCCCACTTTATGCTCTTCGTCGCGTTGCATTTTCAATAAAATCGCGTCGGCCAACGCGACCGTCGGTGCTGTCTGTGCCCGGCTTAAAATATTCATTAGCCAATTGGTAGAGTAATGTTGTCATTAGACCTAGCATTATCATAATTAATTTGATACTAACCATATCCTGGTAAAGGTGTCTCGCATACGTAATATCTGGTAATTTCAAAAGAACACGCCACAACAAGCCATTGATCTGTCTCCGCGACCGATGCCATCCCGATTGTTGTGCAAGATTCAATGTTGCTTATCTCAGGTTGCCGATACTCCACCTCATCTTGCAAGTACCTGTTTTATGACGATAAGGTTATTTAGTATAAATCAAAAACTATGCTGATTCACATTGCTTCTGATATATGTGATATATGTTATGCTGAAAAATAATTAATATCCTACATGTTTTTGTCATGGAATTTTCCATTTCCAAGGTTTAAATGTCAGTTTGCCAATACATATATACAGTATATATACTTTCTCTTATACACATCTAGATGTGTATAAGAGACAGTTGCTACTCTTTATCGTAATAATAAAAATAATAATGATAATTTTAAGCTTATCTCCCTTCAACGTTGATAAAGATAGCAAGAGCTATCGAAATATCCGTTTGATTTTGTTATGGTTTAATAAATTTGTGTTCCGCAAGTCAACTTTCAATGATTGTACACCGTTTTTTTCATTATTTTTTCATTTTATATATACATATATATATATATATATACACATATAATATTATATATATATATAATATATAGAAAGACAGCATTAAAAAACAGCTATGAGTTGTAAACATATTTGAAGCAATATAATTTATTAATTCACAAATATTTCAAACACTCCTGTGTTCTTCCTCAGTATATTGAGGGTGCATCTTCAGACATCTGATCGTTCCCAAGTGCACCATATTAGTGCTATTGGTAGGTACTGTACCTACTGGAACACACTTAGAATGATAAAGAACTCTTGAGATATGAGACTGATTTGACATTGGCTTATAATAATTAAATGTTTCCTTACGTAGATGATTGATACCAATCCATATAGCTAGCTGGTCGCCCGTCATTCCATCTGAAAAGTTGACTGCCAAAGTTTTCTCTCATCAAACCTTTCAAAAAAGATAATATTTTTAAAGAACGTGTTTTCTATATGGGTATTTGAACAAAGGACCGCGAATAACCATTTTGATGCGGCTCTACAAAAGCTGTGAGGCTAAACTGGTAAACCATCTTGGATTGCATTAAACATTAATCAAAATAATTTCATAAAAAAGTACCATTCACCTCATAGCTTGCAGCCTGTATAAAAACTCAATAAAAATAAACACAACAATCAAAAATAAAATGAAATTGAAGACATACATCAAAGACGATGGTCAATCGGGCCTGATACTTTTTCTTAAGGTACTACTGTATATGCAGTAATACCAAATACATTGATAAATCTCACCATGATTAAAGTACGTCCATCATATTATGAAACCTATAAGCCAGATATTTGTTTCAGGCCCGTATCGCGGGGGTAAGATGTGACGAGTGCATAACCATCACTCCAAATCGAAAAGGTCCAAAATTTGTTATTTTCTGTAAACTTAATAGACTTAGGGAATCTCAGATCTTTACATTTTAACAAGTGGTTGATTGGAACCTCTACAGGGGTTCTAGGCGATCCTACCACCACCATACAAAACTCGGTCCATTTTTTGCACACCATGCGTCTTAACTATGACAATCCTCACTACGTGTAGATTTTTGATTAATAGTCTACTGTATGTCTTTTAGGCTCGACTGTGGTCTTATAGACTCGCAGTCTTTTGGTCATTAGATAGCAGTAGAACTGAAGTTCACCTTCAGTAATGTAACTATAGCCAGTCAGATATTCACAAGGTACACCCTCTATAGTGCCATAATAATAATAATAATAATAATAATAATAATAATATGTCGTTCTTATATAGCGCTTAATGCCTTAACAAAGCCTCTAAGCGCTTCGCATTGGATCAAACACTATGGAACACATTGAACACCAAATTAAATTTTTACATTAAATTATATTATTATTCCATAATATTGCGGCTAGTAATCAGCGCAGTTGTGTTGGAACCTACCAGGCACCCACTTATACTCCTGGGTGGAGAGAGGCAACCGTAGATAAAGTGCCTTGCCTAAGGACACAGGTGATTTTCACAGCTAGAGTTTCAAGCCCCCGACCTCGAGGTTGGGAGTCCAAGCCACAACGGATGCGCCAACCGCTTCTACAAGCGGGATTATTTCCAGCAAGCTGGCTCTCGAGTGATAATTTCAAGCTTATCTCCCTTCAACTTACCAATGTACACATATTGCCCAATAACGTCCGGCTTAGTGATGAGTATTGAGTGTATATACTGCATTTCATCATACGTACTTATACTGGCAAGCGTTCCGCCTATGGCAACGCAATTCGAATGCGCAGTATTCCAATCAATCATCTTATCGGCAGTCTGAAATGCGTAGCACTGAGCATTGTACTTCTTCCACCCTGAAGGACACGAACCTATAAAACACCAAAGACCCAACATTAAATATAATAATTACATACGTTTAAATAGATACATCATGGTGTGCCTACCTGTGTGTGATGGATGTTTAGTCATTTTTGTGCAAAACCAATTTTACATTGAATGTAATATATAATACCGTATGTAGGCCATATATAAAAAATGATTGAGCCTGATATCAACAAAAGTAACTATAAAGTAAAGAGGAATTTGTAAGTAGAAAAAAACGCCCAAACTGGGATTCAGTTATATACGGTACAGTTATTTTCACACTTTCTGTAACTTAACAGAAATCAATGTGGTGCACTTTCTGTAATAATTACCTCTAGCCCTATCTCACATGTCATCGTTTGTAATTATACTTGCATGAATTCTCACTTTTATTTCCCAATAATACTCACTTACTCGCCAATGAGGATGGACTAGTGTTGTCCGAAAACTCTGGTTTACTCAAGTTTACATTTTAGCTGTTGCTTTTCAAATTTGTATTTCTACTGAAATCCAGCCATTGTGTTCATGCAAAGCATTGTTGCTTTCCAGTATTTTGGCTATCCATTTATATTTATATTCATTATAAAAAAATTGATTTGTTTATTTTCTACCTGTTATGTTCTTGTTAATCAACTCGGGTTCAAATGTTTGTTCTGTGTAACGTGCTAGAAACCCGGTTCCCTCATCTTTTGCGTTGCTGTCAAATAAAACGCGTAAATAGTTTGATGGAGCAAATATCACATTGTCTGGAAGTGGTTTACATATTTGTGGCATCACGGCGTCGTCATTGACGTCAGCATTGCTTTCACGAATGGAAAATCTGAGAAAGTCTTCTTTGCATTCGTTTCCCGAACGGAGATCAATGTCAAGAATTTCAAATTTTATGTAGGATCCAAGGCGTACGTTTATTTCCCACTCATTTACACAACTTGGTTCATAGGAGTATGGGTAGTTAATCGATGCAATCATTGCGCTTGTCGAATTACAGTCATTATTTCTTGAACATTGCTGTACACCAAAATCACATCCTGGGATATCTGTAAAATATAATTATTGGATTATTTAGTCTCATATATTGATGGCCTAGAAAACTTGATTTTCCTCTACAGCTTGTGGATCTTCCGCTAAGCCCCACACACTGGACGTTTTTGCTAAGGTCCTACGCGACGACAAGTATTAAAACATATGCATACACGTGCGTCTGTGGGACAGCACGTGTGTTTGTGATACACGTGCGTATTCATGGTACTGTTCTGATTGGTCAGTTTGATTGAAACTCCAGAAAGGTCTGTTAGACCGTAAATTATGAGTAAACTGCTAACTTAATATTAGGAGCATAGAGGGTTTGGGCAATATACAGTACTCTATATAAAATAACATGATTATTGCATCATCTGTACCAGAATAAATACATTTTGAGACGATGGTAGGCATTTTACATTGAATCCCGTAGGGTCATCTGCGCATGTCAATTTTTTGTTTTTATAATTCAAAGAAGGCTTTAATCCAAATCTAAAGTTCTTTAGAAAGCAGAGGCACGTCACAGAAAATCCAACCTGTCGTGGGTTACAATTTAGGCAACCAATCGACAGCTCCTTAATGAATCAATGATCCAAAATTACTAGACACCACCATTTACTAGAAATGATTTTGAAGAAAGCGATTGATATGCCCCCTGTTACTTACCAACAGTTCTGTAAGTAGCCTCAAACCCTCTACTCTCTCCTCCAGATCCGGTTTTGACTACAATTACAACTGCATATGTGGCGGACCTTACAGTTGGCATTATAGTTCCACATCTTCTCCCAGTTAAAGTTGCTCGGCCATACACAGTGTCCAGCACCTCCAATGAATCTTTGCATGATCCATCACCATTCGAGGCAATGCCAAAATTTTGAAACTCAATTTCAATGTATTTGCCTTTTTCAACCTGAATGACGAAGTCACAGTTGGCAAAATCTCTGACTGGTTCGGGATAGTTGAGTGTTGATAAGCGTCCACTCCGGGCTGTGTAAACAGATTCAACACCACATCCATAATCACATGGTTCTTGGTTGCAGTCTAAAAAGTCCATAAGATATAATGATGAATATTTAAGATGTATATAGGTGACTTGAGATTAATATTCAGTAGCAGATCCATGAATTCGAAATAGTGGGGGTCCAGGGGGGGTCTTTCACAGATAAAGTGTCCATCCACCTCTGCCCTACCATGTTTAGTGCTAAGGTAAGAAAAATTATAATTATGACACCTTCAGATGACCTGAAATGGCAATCTCAAGACTTAAATTTGAGTATAATTTTCTTTTTTTAATGTCTTTCATAGTTTTGAAAAAAGGGGAGGGGCGGACTGGCTGCCCCTCCCCTACTTGAATCGGCCACTGAATATTTATAGGCAAGTATTGTCAAGTATTGAGGGAGCCCTTGGAAGATAAAATCCAAAGGAGCCACTATTTTCTGAAAAATTGTCAAAAGGCAATTATTGAAGAAAATAATAGCTTCTAAAGATTATAAATTCAAACAACACCCTCAATAAATACCTGTCTCTTATACACATCTAGATGTGTATAAGAGACAGAATAAACACAGCAATCAAAAATAAAATGGAATTGAAGACATACATCAAAGACGATGCTCAATCGGGCCTTGCAAAAATCATTCCATTAAAACATAGTAAATATAATAATTGTAATGACAATTGATGACGATGACGATGATAATGGCGACGATGAAAATAATGTTGACAAAATCATTAAACTTTCGTACACCATATATAAGAATATGGTCTTTGAGTCAGGTTAATTGTCTCGACGTTTCAGTTCTCCTGATGATGGTCAAGGTGTACAAACAGTTTAATTATTCAGTCATTCCATTTATGCAAACCAGTTATGCAAACCGCCAATAAATATTTTAATGACGACGACGATGATGATGATGATTATGATGCCAATGACGATGATGGCGATGGCGACGATGGTGTTGATGATGGTGACAAATATAATAATTACAATGACAACAACAATAAATGCTCATACTAAATTGCATAATTTTTATAAATCGACAATTTGTCATCAATAGTGAGATGACACTAAGTTTCAATTTGCTTACATTTTAATATACATGTGTTAGCATATTGTAATGAGATAGCTGTTTAAATAACATAAATAAATAAACAAATAATTGTTTTCGTCCACATCCAAATATTTGAAATTAGAAATTGTGGCTGGGTCGCTGGGGACCCCTTAATTTTTAGTTGGTGATAGTAAGAAAAAGAAGGTGGTGCTATACATTGTTGTAGGGTGGCAGAATGGAGAAGGGAACAGTTTTTGGAGAAATATGAATCAACTAGTAGAATACTGGAATCGGATGACAATTTCTCTAAAAAACAATCAGCTAATTTAAGTGCGGCGTTTCCAAATTGTTAATTTTGTAGGTGCGGTTAATTTACATAGAAGAAATGTGAGTGAAACGGTGAAAATGTGTTCATCTGCAATCGACAGACAACGTTGCTAAAAGACTGCCGAGGAAAAGGTAAGATTTGATTACACCCAAAGTGTATTTAAAGTTTTGTATTTAAAAAAAATAAAAAAGGTTGTATCATGTTCAGTGTTGCATAAATAAAAACAACCTTAAAATAACATCGCAAAGATAGGATTATAAAATTAGTGAACAATTTAAATAAAATGTTTCATGCTGTTAGTCAAGGCTTTAAAAAAATTGTAATGTGAAAAAATTAATAATAAATATTAATTTTACCTATTTTTGTTATTTTCTTCTTTCTATTTCTCGTTCTAATACAATCTAAAAAGGCCATCAAATACTGATCATTAGGTGAGAAACAGCTCCTCCTCGACTTTTTTTGTAACCCAGAGTGTAGATGAGCAACAGAGAAGTACACCCATTGGATCCGCCCCTGAATACCAATTAGTTAAAACCACCTCCTATCACCTTATTCTCCCAGTTAGACCCCAAACGTTTTTCGCTTCACCCCACCATCAACCCCTGGGCTGTGTCAATACTCTAAATATCTGTCCACATTATCACATTTTAAACTGTTGGATGTCCATATGCTATATATAGTCATGATGTGCCTATATATGGTCATGGTAAATCACATCATGACCATATTTAGGCATGTCACATGTTCTGTCAAATAAAATTTGATAGTCTGGACAGAGCTTTAGAGATGCCGTTAAAAGAAATTATCATATGAATATTATAGTGTGGACTAATGAATAGAATAAGTGCGAAGTATGAAGAAAGTGAGTTACGGACAAGAAAGGCGATTTTACTACTGGTAAATTTTAACAACGGCAAGAATGTTTAATAAACAAACTAGAAATTAAGCTGGTATATTAACACATAAGGCGAATATGTACTTATATAACAGTGAACAATTCAATTTCAATGCTCACAAAAATTAAAGTGATGCTTTAATTTCTTTTGACGCATTAAAAAGTTTAGATGGGCAGATTATAAAGATATAAGATATATCTATAAATATATAAAGATATAAAGATATAAAGATATGTCTATAAAGTCTATAAATATACTGTATATACATATACTTATATATATATATATAAATCTATATATATATATATATATATATATATATATTTATAATTAAAAATTAAAACGGAACAGTAGGGAAAATCCGATCAGAATGACTAAGCATCCACTGGAAGGAATCCCAATATCTGCAGACGGATCCGTTTCGGCCTTCCAGGCCTCATCAGTGCAGCTAGTGTATATACCCAAACAAAACGTTCGACCAGCTTAGGTAGGGCCCGAACTAGTCCCACGACCACTAATGATTACAGAGCCAAACCAAGGCAATATATATACACAGCCCAGGTGTGAATGCAAATAGTGGAATACAAGCTATATATTTATATATATAAACAAACAAACAAACAAACAAACAAACAAACGACGCATTAAACAGTTTAGATGGGCAGATTATACTCACAAACAAAGAGTGACATCACAGACCTTAAATGGGTGATATTAGGGGATATATGCTTATTCATGGACAGCATGAAGTAAACCGTCAATATATAAAAGCTTTACAGTAAATAAAAGCAAGTTTACGTTGTAAAAGGTGTGTTTGGAATTTACACACATAGCTCCAATCTTGTCCCACTTATTTTTAAAGCTAGACATATTTAGGCATATAAGATGCTTTGGAGCCACTTGTGTTTTCATTACAGGTTTTATTTTAGACATGCCATCAAATTGGGTGAAGATTGTGTCAAACTTTGTGTTTAAAATCTAATTGGTTTTTTTTTTACAATGAAGCATACTTGTTGGGAAATCATTCAATTAAACCAAGGCCTAAAAGTATTAAACTTATTCTGGCAGAGAACGGTAGTGAATAACTAAAATTGTCAAATGATAATGTTACTGATAGTAATGATAGTGATTATGATAATGATAATACAAATGATATTATATTCATGATAATAATAACAATGAAAAATATTAATAAATAGGGCCTATTAATATTTCCTGTTATTTTTTTCTTCCAAATCAGAAGATTAGTGGAGTGTTATTCGTAAAATCTTTGAATTTTTATGTGTGTCCCCTAAAAATACTACTTAAATATTATATACTTTATATTATTGATATTTGATAAACTATATGCACATAAAGATATATTATATTATATTATATATAGGAATATTATACACATTTATATATATACAAATAAATATATATATATATATACTTATATACATTTATATATTATATATAAATCTATATTATATATTTATATATAATAAATAAAGATATGTCTATAAATATATATATATACATATACTTATATAGATTTATATATATACTGTATATAAATCTATATATATATTCTATATAAATAAATAAACAAACAAACAAATACATAAATACTAATTAATATTAGTTTACCTTGTTCCGAATAGAACACTTCAAATCCAATGCTGAGAGGAACATTACTGGTCAACTCCCCGATGCCAAGTATCAAACTAATTTTGTTAGATCGACTTAGAAGTGTTAGTTCTTCAAAACTATCGCAGATCTCTGCTAAGACATTATTGTCACGATTAATGTCATTAATAGTCAAGCTGTCTACACATATTGCCGGGCCTTCGGTATTCAGTGGTTTTCGAAGAACGATCTTACGAAAAAACATTCTGAAAATGAATTTAACATGCACATTCATATCAATTTGCATGCATAATATAATAGGAAATAATATATATTATTGGAGTGCAGTTGAATAGCTCAGCGGTTAAGATGCTTGCCTTCTGATCCCAGGATCTGGGTTTAATTCCTGTCATACAGAATTTTTCTCACGACTAAAACAACTCCACCTACCGTAAGCCTCATGAAGATTCTTAGTTTATAAAGCATCATTCTCATCCTGTAAGTGGTGAGTGTAGACCTACTTGCTGTTGGATGTGAGGGAAATTATATA